GCTGCGTGGTGCTGAGTTGCTGGCTGGGGCTAAACCACGAGAAGTTCACATCAAAAAGTTAAATCACCTTCAAATACAGAAGATACTTTCCCATACAAACATTTAAGACCAAGACAAACATAAACCCAAGACCAGCCAGCAATCTGTGTTGTTTGTAGAAAAGTACTGTTTTGTGTCAGTACACCACATTTAAGTTTAAACCAGAAGTTACTACTAAATATTTTAGCCTAATGGGCTGTATAATAAAGAAAAGGAAGCCACATAAATTATTACTTGCATAAAAAGCAGAAAATACTCCATGGCATCATCAGCTCCCATTACTTTTTCCTGTATTAAAGGACCATGAGCTGCAAATGGCCAAATGTAAACTAAAGAGATAATGTAGTATAAAAACAGGTATTATATCCAAGAGGGCTGGATGTAGATGACAAACCCTTCCTTCAGTTGTACAAACCAAGCCCTGGACAGGTTCATCTGAAACTCTGAGAGGCCAAAGGCAGAAGCTGGTTATTTTACCAAAGTTTGGGGTTTCTGTTTGAAAAGGATTCCAAAGTGACCTTAACCCACACCATAGCTTTTTCTCCCAGGCAAATGAATCCCCTTGCTTGAGGTCAAAATAAGAGATGACACAGTTTCACAGGTAAACAGGAAGAGGACAATGGGTCAACCCTGAATTTTAGCAAAGGATTAAAAGAATGCAAACTTACTTCCCAGAGTTCATAGACTTCTTTTCTGAGGTCCTCTGATAGAAGCTGGGTCAGTTGTTGCATAGCTGCCTGAAAAAAAAGAAGCCATTTCCATATGTCTGTTTTTTGAGCAAGTACATTTTTATCATCTTTTTTGAAGAATTAACTACTTGTTACTAAGTTTGTAGAAACATACACTACACGGTGTATTATTCTAAAGTGCACGTGTACCTAAATCTGCCAGAGAAACAGTAGGACCACTCAGCGAAGAATCTTTTTTGGGAGCTGCTTAAGTAAATTGTTAGAGGACTAGTCTAAAACACACAAAAAACAACCTGAAAGTGCATCCAGTCCAAAAAGAAGCCCAGAGCAAACCAGGCAAGTCAAATGCCAGGGAACTGCCATCAGTTACCAGCTCTGCCTTCCAGATTTAACTAGTGGAGGCAACATTTGAACTTAATAGGTTATGGGTGCAGTTCATAAAAGCAGCTTCAAAATACTAACTCCTAGTGTTGACAAGCAACTGTCCCCTCCCACTCAACTGGGACATTTCCACTAGCAGGGCTGAGAACAGCTACTGACTGTCAGGCAGGCAACACAATACAAGCCTTTAAAAATCTCCAATTTTGAAAAAAAAAGAGAAAAAAATCAATTTAATACCCTGCCGCAATAAAACACAGTGCTCCCAGACTGAGATACCATTTGTTCAACAACTAAAATCTTGGTACAAGGTTTAACACGGTATCAAACTGATGGTATGACCAGCAAGCAGAAATTGTTCTGCATGCCCTTCATGCTCTCCCAGCTGATCAGTCTCATTTCTGTGCTATTTCTACCATTTTCCTAGTAACACTAAGGGCTGCTTCCGAAACAATCAACATCACAGGTAAGACAAAGGTTTTGTGCCATGATTGTTTCTCCACTTCAAATACAGGGTATAGTTTCACAGTATGGCTGAACTGATTCAGCTGCTTCCCACCACTGAAGCATCAAGGTCTCATGCCTCCCCACCTCCTTCCAGCTCTGGAGCTCATCAGATTTCAAGGTTAGCAGCACAAAATGACTTGCCTGGCAAAAAAACCCAAGCCAAACAAGAAATCCAAACTTTTTTTATTTTTAAATCAAGTTAATTTTCTGCTGCCTTAGCCTTGGTGAGACTAACTGATTAAACTTACTGCACAAGCAGCAAACTTCAGAACCACCTCAACGTCAGCTGTAGAGCAAAGGGAAAAAAAGGAGAACTCTGCAGCAGCATACTGATAATTCAGCTCAAGCCACCTCATGAAACTGTTACCCTTGGCGTATTTTTACAACAAAGTATTTCAGAGTCAGCCTAAACGTTTAATGCTTGACCCTCCTTCCCAAAAAGTCAACAGTAAAGTCCTCACTGAGCGAAACGGGAGCAGAAGGAGCTGCAAATAAACATAATTAAGATCAAAACATTTTTTTCATTGCCTGAATACAAATGAGAATTCCCTCTAGGCAAAGTTGAAGCCTGGTCCTTGGTGACAAAACAACCTTTGGAGGTTTCCAGGAAAGAGGTTTGGGGGTTTTTTTTAGTGTAAGAACACACTAGGAAGTACTCTGTAAAAAGAAGAAATACCAAAATTGCGGTCAGTAAAGACAGCACTTCAAGAACGCTGAGTACCCCTTTGATCTTTGATTTCCACTTTCTTAGCAAAGAGCTTACTCCTAGAGTTAGCCATAACCCCCTCAACCCCAAGTTTTAAACAGATAAGCATAAGGGGGGGAAGGAGGGGGATAATCAAGGCAACGGGGTTTTTTACACCCTCTGAAGAGCTAATTGTAGCCTCTAAAGAGTTTCCAAAGCATCACGTTGCCCTCTAGCTGTGGCTGGAGGAGTGGTTTACATTTTCTTCAAATAATGCAACAAACCAGAAATGACAAACCAACAGTTTGGATATATACAAGGCCAAAAATAAAATAACTCCAGGCACACTGCACTCAGAGACTCATGACCAAAAAAAAAAAAAGACACCTGTGTCTGGAGTCCTGAGCAAATGGATTAAATGAAGTATCTATCACAACCACATGATCTGGCACCACACAAATGATGTGCCACAAACTGTCACCCACCTTCTCAAGTGCCCCTACTCCCTGCTCCCCACTTCTTGATAAGGCTGGTCAGCATGACTAATTCAGGCTACCACAAATCCAACCAGTTCAGGAATAAATGGCCAACAGGAACATTACTTCAAAGGTTCTCCTTCCATAACTTTGTACTTGGTGACCTTACATGTACAAAAATCACAATGAATTGAAAACTTTGGTTGGTTGTGGCATTCTTGTCCAACACCAATGACGCTATTATGTTGCTTAGGGGACCTCTTCACTACCACCAGAACATTAAAATAATGCAGAACGCTTTGCAATTGTGGCTTCATTCCTTATGTCCATACCTCTTCTCTCCTGTGTTTCTCCTCTTTTGAGATATTATCTGTGGGAGCAATATCTCCAACAATGCATTCAGCCATATCGTGAACTAAAGCTAATCGTATGCATCTGACAAGAAGCAAAGACAGAATAATTAGGTTTTGAGCATTGTAAGTTATATCTTGTTATTCATAAAGCTAAGAGACTGCATAATTTATCCCCTTCATATATTTTACAGGGTTGTTGGGTTGTTTTTTTTTTTTAATTTTACATAAAATTTTTCATATCTTTGCTAAGGGAAGTAGTTTCTACCTAGACATGATTTTAATTCCCGATTCTAGCTACTGCTGGTTGTAAATGTAGATTCAAGTATAAATACAGTTTGTACAAGAGCATAGCATTCAACAATAATGTACTTCACTTTTGTATGCTTGGCTTTCAGAGATGTTGTGATAACTAACTACATTATACACTTCACATTAACGCTGCAACAGGTAGAAGGTAACCTGATTGGAGCCACCGCAAATTCAATATAGAATCTGACACTCACCGTTCTGAGCTATGTCGGTCTGCAGCAGAATACTCAAAAAAGCCTTCACTATTTTCATCAGCTCCTGACGAAGCAAGCATGATCCCATACTAGACCTGACAACTCATTCAACATTAACGATGCTTTCTCTTCTATGCTGTACAATTTCTGAGACTCCTTACCGCTGCTGAGTGCTAAATCTGTCAAAATCTACACAGTGTACAGCTTTGCCTCTGCTGTCTGTTGCTTCAAACTGTTTTAACTGAGTGTCTTCAGCTTGATTACTTATGGCTTGAGAGAAGGCCAGCTCAGAGGCACTGCATTAACAACTTGCCTCAGCATCTGGAATTTAGCAATGAAAGTCTTTAGCCCCTTTCAGCTCTCCAGGTAAATAGCACCCTGTCCAAAGGATGAAGGGAAAAGAAGAGCAGAAAGGATTTCAAATTCCTTCAGTGTGTTTCAAAAGCTCCTCCTCAGGATGACAGCTATTTTAAGTGTTTTGGTTGCAGCTCTCCCACAAGATTAACAGATGGTCATGACAACCAGAGGCAGTCTCACCTGTCCTTGTTAAGGCTCTTGTCTTCGGTCACCAAAGCCATCATCGCCATCCTGTACATATGATCAGATACACTCTCCGGCTTCGCCACGTTCCTGTACACCCATCCTGTCCGTGGCACTCTCTGCACAAAGAGAACGTCAAAGCAACGTAAACGTTAAAACCTTAGGTTTCGAAGGACCTCACTTGGGAGAGGCCAGTAGAAATTTTGCCCCACCGTGACCTCCGTGCTCCAGTGAGCTTTGACGTTTCTGGGAAACACCAGCCCAGCGCCCGGGCTCCCCCGGGGCTGTGACGGGAGGCCTTTACATGGCTGCCACAGGCAAGGAACACGCACCAGCGCTGG